CCCAAATTAAATAGATGTCCTGAGTCTCCCTTTGAGTCTTTTTGTGTATATCTTGTAGAATGCATTGAGATTTCATCTAGATCTTTTGCTTTTTTGCTCTTTTCCAAATTTGGTCTATCTATTCCCCTGTATAGCTGAAATTTTGCATAAATTGTGGCAAGTTAAGCATGCAGATCCTCTCCTGTGCAGTAATATCAAACACCTTTGCATCTAGTGCAAATTTCTTGCAATTAAGCCTGGTCTATGTCAGATAACCAGTTGATCAGCCCAGATCTTTGGAAAACACAACACTCTGTGCTGCCAGTTTTGAAGCAATGAGCTGGATGTTCTGTATGGACATAATTCCTGCACAGGCTTTGTAAATTACATATTTCTACGGAGTGCAAATTTTGAGAAACTTGCCTACCACAAACTTGTCAGAAGATAATTTTAATGGAAGAAACTATTTAAAGTACTGTCCTGAATAGAGATGAATTTTACCATCTTCTCTTTACAAACAGAGCATAAATTCTTATGACTTCCTCAAATACCAGCTGTCACGGGAATGAAATATGAAGTGACTGCAGAAGCACCACAGAGGATGGAAGAAGGGAGGCAGTAGTCACTAGGCCTAGTGCTGTGCCTGGGAAGCTGGCCGTCCCTTAGCAGCCTGTGGAGGTAAGGGAGAGAAAGATCTTCTGGTAGGTGCATGGCACGTGAAGTAGAGCAGGTGTGAGTGCCCTCGGGTTGTCACTGGAGGAGGCTATGAAAACTGCCATCCAGAAGTTAGTCTTTGTGAATGTTTTCCCTAATATTTGAAATATCAGCTCCAATTAGACCATTAACACCATTTTGCATGAGCAGAAATACTGAACAGAAGTTCTATGATTCTATGATTTCTGACCATAGGTAATTAAAATGTGAGAGACTGGTCATATTTTTTCTTCTTATATGTAATCCTCAAACATTGAAATCCTGAAAAACATAGAGAAAAGAAAAGAATTTTCTTTCACATCAACTTTGGTAATGACTTGGGTATTTAATAATGACTCAGGGAAACAAACACCGTATGTTAAAGAGCACAGTAATTGAAAGGACATGGTAGAACTTCGAGTTGTATGCAACCTTCAGCTGAGAAATGGCTGTCAACAAAATTTATCATTTGTTGATGATTATTATTTCTCCACCCTTTCTACACAGCTGAATGAATTTAATCCATTGCAGACAGAAGTATTATTTAAGCTCATATTTCCTATTGTTAAGTATGTTTTAAAAACAGGAACAGAAAGAAAAAAAAGAAAGTTTCCTTATTGTCTTCATTCTCTGTGCAATAGTTTGGTAAAGTCTTTGGTAGAAGGATTTAGGAAGCAAAGCCTCAAATTGAAGTATTGTCAGGCACAGAGAAAATGCAGATAAAAAAATCCAGAGAAAAACTATATGCCATTAATTTATTTCTATAATAAGCTGAAATCCAAAATCTGATTTTTAGGAAAGAATGTGAGCTGCCAGACAGCAGTGTACTTTTATTCAGTAGAGTGCCTAGGCAAACGATTGACATTAAGCAAATTCTCCACTTTCACTGATCTCAGAACTTTTTCCTGAGGTCAGAATCAGAATTTGATGAACAGGTCTGGATTTAAACATATGCTGATTTACAGTCTGAATATGAGTCAGTATCAAATTTTGCTTTTAGCATCTGTTGATAATAGCTGGTTCTGTACTGCAAGATAGCAGAGTCAGAATATATGAACCCTTAGCCCTGCACACCTTCGTCAGTGATAAGATACAGCCAGCATCAGCTCAAGTGACCTGGGGAGTCCTGTCAGGTTAATTCCTTTTTCTGGTTGAAATCTGATTTCTTTTATGAGGTGGGGATCTTGGGGTGGGGGTGATGGGTTAGGGTTTTTTTTTTTGTTGTTTTTAATATCCAGCTTTTTCCTAGCCTACTAAAAGCAGATATATTTGTCAATTAATTACTTCCTTTACTATTACCCTTTTTTAAATGAAGATGTGAAAGTTGTGGATTACAGTATGTAATGACAATGACACAACCAAGAGATATGTCAAAAAAAAGCACACTATGAGAATACAGAAGTACTTAATAAGAAGACATACAAATATGCAGGTGTCTTTAGATTATGCAGAAGCTTTAAATGCCTGTGGTGGATGAAAGTGAAATTTAAGATGACAAAATAACTGACAAATGAAGCAGATATTAATGTTTATTAAATAATAACATTTGTCATTTAAGGCTGTAGATTTGACATGACATGTATGGCACACAAATAGTAAGACACATTATAGATCCCTCACTGTTCTGTTTTTCTGTCAGTAAAACTTTTCTAGTAATCTGAAAGAATAAGAGGGAACTTCAGGCTTTTGAGCTAGGAATCAGCATGTGCTGAAGTGTGGGGAGTTTGACAAAAGAGCACCTAGGAGGAACAAATATCAAACTAGAATGACTGAGAAATGATAGAGAAACTTGAAACCTGGCAGCTTACCCTGTAAAGAAATGTAGTATATAGAGGATGAGAAGCCATGCTGGAGCTCTGAAAGTGAAAAAGAGGATTAGTGTTGTAGCCAGGTGTCAGGAGGGGAAAGTCTCCACTGGCTTTTGAGGACTCCAGTGTGAAGTCATGAAACCAAAGACAAAAATACTGCTCTCAGTAGATGTCATCTTTGCCCTGAAGATGCCAGGGCAGCACCTCAGAGAGACTGTTATCTTTGTCCTCACAACAAATTCTTCAGAAAAGCAATGATTTTGCTTCTGAAATTCTCTAAATGCATTTTCATTGCGTTCATTTCCATTGTCATTTCAGTCAGCGTAGACTGTGCTATTTGTATGATGACGTGCTAGCCTGTGTCCTTAGCAGAGGCTCAGAAGGGCTTCTTGCAGGGAAGTAAGGGAACATATAACAGAAGCCTGATCCTAGGACAGCAGAAAATGGCTTCTGACCCAAAGGAATGCTCCTGTTTATACTTCACTTTTTTTATCAGGTGTTAGTAGCAAAAAACACCTCACACACATTCTCAGGAGAAATGTAAGAGAAAATAACTCAGGAGAAAGTATGAGATGGTACCAGATAGGTTGTATGATTTCAGACTGTACCTCAAGCAGAGAAATCTTGACATAGGAGGAATTACACTGCTATTGCACTGGAGATCTTGGAATCTTAGGACACACCAGTTTCAGGTGCCTGTTCACCAGCAGGTACCTCTAAATTTGCTCCAATATCTACTCTGTATAAATATCTAATTCAGCCTTATCAAACATTTTCCAGCAAACGAACTGGGAACTTTCTCAAATAATTACATTTTCTTCTTCCACTGAATTGGAAGAGAGGACTTTATTTATTTTTTTAAATGAGGGAAAAAAACAAAACATAAAATTCACTGTGATTTTTTTTTTTGTTTGTTTGTTTTCTAATGGGAAAAAACCCTCTGTCATATTCTTAATAGAAAAACCTGGTTGGTTTTCTACATTGTATCTCTTTGTGAAAATACACATCCTTTAGCACATGAAAATTATTGTGAAGTGACAGGGGAATAATTTCAGGAGACCGTTGTCAAATTATTAGCAACATGTTCCATAGGGAACCACAAAGAAAAGGGAAATCTCATAAAATACAAAAGAGCAAAGCTCTGAAAGTAAGTTCTGTCTTATAATTCATTTTCTACATTTCCTGTCTGTCCTCAACCACAAAAATATCCTTTTTAATTAAATTACTTGCCAGTAGAGAAATACATGGAATTATAATGCACAAGAACACATTGCTACTTTAATATTCTACACTATTTATAGGACAGCACAAGGCACAGTTTTTGACTTTTAAGTACTGGCAAACCAAATAATTTTCATTTCTTAGGCATTTATCCTTGTCAAATTTAGAACATATTAGATTTACCATCACATCCTGAGATCTTTTTTGCTCAGAAAGACATCAGACCAGATTGCCATTTGTGCTACATTTACATTTATAGACATTTTAAAGACCTTCTTCTCCGCCAGCATGGTTTAAGGTGACCTTGCTAAAAGAAAGTAAGGTCTATATGGTATTTTAAAAAGCTAATTATTCAAAAAGGCATTGATTATACAGCAAAGTACATTGTATGACACAGCAACTCAGCTGGTGGATATTGTAGTTTCACACACAGAGCTCTATTCCGTATATTTGGCAAGTGTTTCTGCACTTCAACCAACTGTAAGCACTGTGAGTTTGGAAGCTAAACATACCGATTACACCCAAACTATATTCATATCCTCCTTTTAAATTTTGCAGATCTTGATTAAACCATTAATTGTCTTGGAGATAATCCAGGTTTATACCATTGTGTCTGAACACAGACTATTATGAGCCTATGCATAATTTATATAGATCAGCACTAATTATTATGAAAAGCCTCAGATAGCTAAAGCTTATTTTCTTTTAATACCAGACCTGGTTTTCACTGTCACCTGTGAGGATGGATTTGCACCTTGTCTAGACAGTGAACAGTCCCATCTCGCTTTAGATTCTGAACACAGGTCACAAGGAGAACTTACATGGTTCATAGGATTGGGACAGACAATACATTTCACCCCAGCCACACTAATTCCTGTCAGTGATGGCAGATGAAAATGGGGTTTAGGGTTTTTAAATTAAAAAGCCTGTACTATTGCAATCAGCTGTAATCAGCTGGGACTGAAGGTCTGTTTGTGCTTTCATTGGCTGTGGTGAAACATCAGAGTTATCCCATTGTGTTCTGTGGAATTACTGTAGGGTTTTATTCTCATAATTGAGAACAAAATTTCTCTCTTAATCCTGTCTTTGAACCTAAGTGATTACAGCCTGAATTGCCTCTATGAATGAGAAAACTGCATGTCCCCATTTAACATATTCTACAGGTTTCACAGAATCATTTTTCTGCATGCCTAGGCTGATTTCACAGGATTTTAACATCGATCAAAAGATGGATTAAAAAAAAAAAGAAAAAAAGAACTCTTCAAATCAGAATGTCCTAATTTTATGCTGGGATGGGTGTCCTGTGTAGTGACAGCTCCCTGGGGTTCGTATTGTTTCTAATGCTCTTAGATGGACACTCCTGAAAATCACTTCTTTGGAAAAAAAGAAAAAAATAGATCAATAAATACATCTTTGTGCTAAAGCTCATAACCGTACAAAGAGAACAGAACAAAAAACAGCTGATGAAAACCATAGGTAGTAGCAGGTCTGACTATGTCTTATAATAAAATTCAGATATAACTGCTGCAAACATTAAAGCAGTAAAAAGGGCAAAAATGCACAGCGTCCAATTTCAAAGTGACAACAAAGTTCCTTGGAAAAAGAAGAAAAACACTACCCATTCTGTAGTTGTTATGTAATTGTGCTTGTCCTTGAATACGTTTCACCTGCAATCACACTTCCAGCAGTCTAGTGTAGGATATTTATCACTTCTTTATATTTTGTCATCATCATCACTACTTATTTTTTTAAATGCGACTGGGCTTGCCTGCTTTAAAGAGGTTTTTGAAACATCTGTGTGCATGGTGGACATGGCTATAGTCTCATAATCCTCCTCACGGGAGCGGAAATGGCAAAAGTGAAATAAAAACTGCAGGTCTCTTTGGAAGTTCTTATTGAGAAACCCATAGAAGATGGGGTTCACACATGTAGAGATCATGGCAGTGAGGTGGCAAATCAGGAACAACAGGTTGTGGCTGCAGGTAGCGACAGGCAGAATTTCATGATTCCAGTCAAAGACGATGTTGAAGATGGTGAGAGGCAGCCAGCAAACTGCAAATGCAACCACTATTGAGATCAGCATGATGTTGATCCTTTTGGTTTCAGAGGATCTGTACTTACTGTCTCTTATCTTGTCCATCATGTTGTTCCTTTTTTTTAGCCGTATGTATATCTGCAGGAAATTCAACATAGAGAAATGTGGGATAATTTAACCTATAGCCATCAACTTTGCAAGGGTAAACAAACGACAGACAGAAAGAAGTACATATTGCAAAAGGATAGTCTCTTACCTTCAAGTAGCAAATAAATATAAAACAAAGCGGTCCGAAGTATTGAATCACCAAAAGTGTTGTGGTATAAGAAAGCCTGGCAGTGTCCAAGGGGAACAGGTCCAAGCACACATATTTGTCCTTATATTCATCAAATGTTAGGTTTCTGAAGGGTTCATCTGTTAACACATGGTAGATCAGGAAAGGCAAAGAGGAAGCTGTGGCTAAAATCCATATGGCAGCAATCCCCATGTAGGCATGTCTGTTGTTTGGCCTCCAGCCACGAGGATTAATGATCAGCTGGTGGCGTTCGATAGCAATGAGGACTAAAGAAAAGACTGAGACTGTGATTGAGGCACATTGCACAAAAGGATTCAATTTGCACATGGCCTCCCCGAAAATCCAGTGATCCATTAGAGTATACACAAAGGTAAAGGGAAGACACATGATGGTCACTAGAAGGTCAGAAAAGGACAGATTGACTATGAGGATGTTGGTAACATTGCGCATCTCCTTCTGTTTTAAAATAATGATAATCAAGGCCAGATTCCCAGAGACTCCCAGAATTATCACAGTCCCATAAGCCAAGGCCAAAGTAAAGACCATGGCCAAAGGCACATGGCAATCCTCATCCTCAAACTGCAAGAACTGCGAGTTCTTCTCCGAAAAATTCAGGAGACCGGACATATTTCCCAGGGGGATGACAACCGAAGAATTCATGTCGTTTCCAACTCTCTGCAAGACCTTCACAGCCGCCGCCG